AATCTCTCGGTTCTTTAGATCTGTCAACTCACAGCTCCTCCGCCGGGTCGCCGCTTGCGTTGAGGGTTCCCTCTCCGATTGAGCTTCCTCTCAGCGCCCGTCCTAATAGACACTTAAATCTTATTAGACTCTCCTCATATTCTTTAGTATTAGGAATAATATAGGCTATTACAGCTTACTACTTGGCACCGTCTGTTAGGATTCTTGCTTCCGCATCATCTGTGGCTTTATCAGGGCCTCAGATCCACCATCAGCTGCTGGCAGAAGTTTCCACGTTGAAATTAGGAGGTTTCCTTCGTCCTAACGGGCGATTGCCTTTCGCCTCATTATTCCTCCGGCATCCCCCTTTCTCACGCGTTGTCCTCCAGACTTCCCCGCACCCCCAAAGGGTCTCCAAACGTGGAAAGATCAGAGTTAGGTGACAGAGCCTGTCTCCTTAACTCTGCACCGCCCTGGTGCCACCACCGGAAGTCCTTAAAATCTACAAGTCTTAAAGTTGCCAAGTTTGGAGACCACTAATCTAAAGGCGTCTGGGAGATCTAGGTTAAAAAAATACCTCATAGTGAAGGATTACTCTGCAGGTAGAGGGAGCAGAGGCTCTAGGCTTATTTTGCTCCCAGAGATTTTGGTCAAGACTGCTCCTTCTCTACATTTGCTTTCTGGGCAGAGCAAGGTTAAGGACTCTCTCCTTATTCCCTGAGATCTTGTGGAATTTTATCTGCATGCGGGACAACCACCCCGCTCCTGAGGAATTCTTAAGGGATCGCAGTGATAAGGCTTGAATAATTTTTTAGTCTCTTGAATAAAATTGATTTTAAAATGTTTAGTTTTGACAAAAACTGTGAATGTTTATTTCTTTGACTGTACTACTTTTGGAAATATGCCTTAGAAACACCAATGTTTTAAAGATGTGAAATTTCCAATAAATTTTGGACCTGCTTAAACATTTTCTAATGCAGGAATAAATAGGACGGATTAAGAGACATCAGTGATACAGGGTGTGTAAAAATGAGATGAGTAAATTTAAGAAAAAATAGAAATAGGCAAGTTTTTAAGTAAATTGAAATCTGATTTATTTCCCAGTTTTTTATTGTTTTTAAAGATTGTCTTGGTTAAAACTCCAGTAAACCTATACCTGCAGTGTATCAAGTTATGCTAGGCAGAAGAAATTACATAACTATTTGTAAAGAGTCAGGGTGATCTCTTCTGAAGCAGCATTCCCCTCCTTGGAGAGCTGCAATTTTTTCTTTTAGTCCCAGAAGCAAAGAAAATGTTCACACAGCAACAAGTGCTTATGGCAGGTTCCTGGTGATGTTAAGACAGAAGAAAAGGACAATAGGGACCAAAGTTATTTTCTGTGGAGTGTGGAACTTAATAATTTCTACAAAAAAAGAGTAGAGTATGAGAAAGAACTCCACCTAAACATCGGTGTAACTCAAAGCAGAAAGTCTTTTGTTTTATTGATTATTCTTAAGTGCATTCTAGCCAGGACTGAGAAGAAAAAATTAGTATTACAAGTTAAGGAAGATAGTGTTAAAAATATTTGAGGTATGAAATCGACATATTGTTGGCTCTGTTAATTGTGAACTTCTTTCCAAAGGACAAATATAAGAAAGTTTCTGAAATCCCAAGCTTGTTGTTCTTAAGAAACAAAATAAGAAAATAAATGTCTTTCTTGTCTAGAAAAATATTCATTTCCTTTATTTTTTATTTAATTTTTTTGCATGCATGCATTTTATTTTATATATAGAGAAAAAAGTGTACCAATAAAGTGTTTCAACAGTTTGGATTGATTTTGAAAGAATAGTTATTTTTATTAAGATTTCCATTGGGAGGGATAAAAACTCATGTTGCAGGAGAAATGGCTCAAGATCAATCCTTTGAATCCCCCACCTAAAGTGATTTTTTGGTGTATTAGAGTAGAAAGAGTCTGCTTTGCCTAAAGAGTTGTTAGTGAAAATATAACATGATTCAATATAAAGCAACTTGTATGTTTCTATACAGCAAAGCTTGTTCACAAATTAGCTGGGTTGATCTGAATTTGAATTGATTCACCCAACCCTTTTAATTTGTAAACTGGTGCCCATTAGCATATTACTCTTAAATGGATTACTATTGAATTAAGTATTAGAGATAAAAGAAACGCACTCATGAGATTTTGACTATTCTATACTTAAACAAAATTTGAATCCAGTTCCAAATTTAAATATTCTTTTCAAATGGCTACAAAAATTGTTTATCCTGTTCTTAAAATAATAATAATAATAATAATAATAACAACAACAACAACAACAACAACAACAACAACAACAACTTTTCTTAGATGGGATCAACATTAAAACATGATCACAGATTTATTATTTAAATACAAAGACAAATGGAATACCTATTTGAAAAGATATGTAATATCCACAGCCTTTTTCTCCTATTTTAAAAGAACATACTCTCTTCTATTTTAAACTTTTGCTATTGGATGATAACTTGCTGAAAGAAATATTATTGAATTAACGTTGAGCAAGGAGAGATGTCATGGGGTCATAAAAGTATAATTTGTCTTGAGATCAATATAGATTGCTCTTAACGATTTGATTAGTGTCCTAGGCCCCCTATCTCAGCTTGATTATCAGATATGTTGATGATGCTCTTCGAATTTCTAGCTGTTATATACAGAATATTAGCTACCCCCATTGTAGCCACCTTGCATCTGGCAGTGCCAGTTTGGGAAAGGTTGTCTAAGGGAATAAAGAAAGGAATCACAGGGAATTAATGGATCTTACAAATTTAATTGGAGTACCAAAGTCTCTAGATGGCAACTAGGAATGGGGAAACGGTTTAAATTTATCCCCTTATAGCAGTCCAGATCTCCTTAATCAGGGATTCTTGTAATAGGGCATGCTTGTAACATCTTATGGACTGCTTGTAACATCTTATGGACTGCTAGCCTTAACTTGCTGTTGCCTGAAAATATGCAGTGCCTTGTAGTACTGAGTTATGGCTGGGCCCTACTCAGACAATGTCTTTTCTGATTTTTTCTTCCTAGATCAGTGACTTAACAAACCAGCCCTATTGTATTTTGTTGGGATTATTGAAGTTAATAGGTATGATAAAAAATAGGAGAGCTAGTTTGGTGTGGTGATTAAGGCACCAGACTAGAAATTGGGAAACTATGAGTTCTAGTCCCAGTTTAGGCATAAAGCCAGCTGGGTGACCTTAACCCAATCACTTTGTCTCCAGCCCTAGGAAGCAGACAAGAGCAAACTACTTCCAGAAACTTGGCCAGGAAAACTTCAGGGACTAGGCCAGCCATGACTCTCAGGAGCCAAGACAGACTTGGAGATACAAATGATATTTACAAATATTAAAAAATAGCAACAGCTCCTGGTCCTGTGTTTATGTCCTGCTCCCTGATTCTATAGTTATGTCCTGGCTTGTTCATATCCATAAGCCCATAATGTTCTATACTCTGCAGAGCAAGTTTGCAAGTTAACTAAATATTTCAGAATTTTAAAGAGTCAAGAAAATCGTTTATAAACCATATTTTGAAAGTGAGATTAAAATTAATGCAATAGTATACTTGTGTATTATTTTCAAAAATGAATGTAAGGGAAACAGAATTATTTTTAATATGATGTTTCCTCCTCCTTTTTCTTCTTCTTTTGCAGCAAATTCCATAAAGCGGGAAATGCAAAGTGATGATGAGGATTCTAACAGAAAGCGTCTAAAGAGGGAAGATGGGATCATTGGGCAGGATGAAGGGAGCAGTTTGGAAGAGCCCCTGATTGAAAACCAGGAGATTGGGGAGAACAGAAAAATGCAGGAGCTGTCAGGCGAGGGAGGAATCCGGCTTCCGAATGGTAAACTGAAATGTGACGTCTGTGGCATGGTTTGCATTGGGCCCAATGTGCTTATGGTACATAAAAGGAGTCACACTGGTAAGCAGCCAAAAGAAAAAAAATGTGATGACTGCCTTTGGCATCTGATGTTGATATTGCCTACGTCTATTCTCTAGTATTTCTCAATTCATCATTGATAATCATGTGCAGTAATGGGAAATCCTTTCTTTTCAAACTGTGCTTACTAGGAAGTAAATATTAAAAAACATACTTTTATGTTCTTATCTCTTTCACAGTAATGTTTGAGAAATGATAACTTCCATATTAAGTCTCCTTAGAGACTTAAATTGGCTGTCTTTAAATATGAACCTCTATTTTTATTGATTTTACAAAATCCTCTCCTTCTATCATTTCTGGAGGCCACTTGGTGATATAAAATATTTAATAACATTAGAATATCCTTCACAAGAATGACACAGAGACAGGTGACAGATCCAGCATGGAAACAGTCTACCAGCTTCCAGTCTCTATATGCCAAGTAGTCTCCATTTTTAGAGAAATCTGAATTTATTGGGGAACTGTCAAGAATGGCATATGGTTAAGGTGGACTCACAAATCAGATTTTGGTATGTTGCATATCCACAATGAAAAGTATATTCGTGTGTACAACCCCCCTCCCCCGTCCTTAAAAATACCAAAAGCTACCATGCCTGAAACTGATTAACACATCCCTATCCACAGAACTCTGGGATCAGCTTGCTTGGACTTTCTCCCCTGTTTTGTTAGATACCTTATAGGAAGGATCTAACCTGTAGCTGCTTAACTAAATACAACCTTCATCTAATGCTACCAGTGCATCTTCCTTGGTACTTCCTGGACTAAGATAGTCACTCTGCTATCAAGAAACCAGGATTTATTTTTTCAATTTCAGTGTTTAATATGCCTATGGAGTGAGAAGACTCTATCCTTACTCTGAGGAAATGTTCATAAAAGCACACCATAGGGGAGTTGATGGAATTTTCTAAATGTAGCTATGTTTGACGTATACTTATTTCATAATGCATTTTGCCCGGTAATAATTCCACTCCAATAACTTGTCTGATAACTCGTTCCTGAAAGTGCTGATCTCTTCAGTGTTGTCTGAATAGCATTTACAAGGATTTCATTCTTTCCTTGCCTTTCACAGAAATATTGCAGACCCATTTGGCAGGGGCCATGTTCACTTGGTCTCTTGTATTCTGCTTTCCCTTCATTTCCAGTGTAAGCTGCTTTCCCCAGACAATGTCTTTTGCTCTCTTCCTCCAAAACTTTCCTCTAGAAATGCAGAAACAGCTTCCATCTTTCACACTTTAAATATATTTCTCCCAAATAACTTCTATTTAGCAAGCTGTTGTGTGAAGAGCAAGGAAGATTTGCTTTATACATTGATTAATTGCTTATATGGAAGAGAATAATCTTTCTCTCAACATTCCCTGCCTCCACATATAGTTGGCTTCTCCTTCTCTCTTTCTTTTCCTTTCCTCACAAGAAAGAAGGGAACAAGACTAACTCCCTTTGTTTTGTCCCCTGGAGGCTGATTAAGGTGAAATACAAAACAACAACAAAAGGGCTGTGTTGACAAAGGAAATTGTTGCAAGGAAAGCAGAAGAAACCAGAGTAAGGTTTTTTTGTTGGGGAAGGATGGAGGTTTTCCTGGGGGCCTTGCAGATGGCCAGGCTTTATCTTAGCCAAGTGAAATGAAAATTAAGCAGAGCATGAACAGGTTGTTCTGACTACTTAAGGGCAGATGGACACTACTAGAATGGACAGGTTTGCTTTTTTGTGGGCAGATAAGACTTGCAGAGAGCCAGTCACCAATGTTCCTCCTTTGTAATCATTTGATTAGTAGAGAGTGCCTCATCTTCCCCCTCCCAGCTTTGCAAAAACCTTCTTCACTTGTAAAGGAAATAAAATATTGGGATGTTAAAACCAGTTTTAGCTGGTACTGGTGCTGATTAGAATGGCAATGTGCTAACCCAATTTTTGTCTATTGTGGCTGTTTTGCCCAGTCCCCCTCCAAGGGATCAGCAAGACTGCCCCATGAGTTTACTCCTGTGTAACCCGGCTACCTCCCTGGCTAAAAACAAAAGTTCCCTGTTTGCACCACACCTAATGACTGCAACAGGAGGAAGCTGGGACAAAGTGGAATGGTAAGACCCAGGAAGATCATCAATTACTGGAGGGACAATTTACTTTTTTTTTTTTTTTGCAACTGTGCCATTTGGAAGAATCCGTAGCCAATTCTATTTTAAAAACTGTTTCTAAGACCTGCTGTGGGAGTGAGGGACCTGTAGGAGATTTAACTTTATGGATGTGATGATTGGTCTGGCAGGGAACAGGATCCATCTGGTCACTTCAATCTACACATTTCATTAACAGTGTATCTTTATTGGTGTGCAGCCCATCTGACAGGACTTTGCTTGGAAATTAGTTGTATGTACAATGATCTGTCACCCTCTTCCAATAATTTAACAATACAGAAGGCTGCATACCTGAAGTAGGAAACTCAAATTAATTTTATTTGGACTGGTCAACAGCAGAAAATTTCTACAATAATAACATACCTTCCTGAAAATGATCTCATTTCACAGAGCAGTTGCTCTCCCTATTTGTATCAAGTATGTTTCTATTTGAATTAGCAAAGTTTTGTATCAAGGAATTTCCACCGCTGTATACAGGAAGGTCCCAAGCGATAGATCTATTTTTCAAGAAAGTAAGATTTCATCCATAATAGACCATCTTCTTAATTCAGCTATCCACTGCTCCTCCATCTTATTTAGATTCAGCTTTTATTTGTTGGATCATATGTAATTGATCATAGCCTCTAAGAAACTGTAAGCATCTGCACTTTTTTTGATTCAGATGGAGATAAAGTTGTATATCATTTTTGTGTGGTATAGATGGCTCCACACTCAAAATTCCCGATTTCTTCCTCCAGTGTTTTATGTGAACTCTGAGTAGCAAGAATCAAAGGATAGCATCCTATGTATAAACAATAATAATAAATTCTTAAGTTACTCTCTCATATTGGTCCAGCAGAGAGGAATGGAACCTCTGATTTCTTCCGGCTCCCAAATCACTGAGACATCTATCCATATTTCGTATTCATTAGTATCAAACACTGCTGAGAAGTCTAGAAAGATTAACATGGTAGTATCTCCTATCCTTTTGCTTTCAGAGGTCACTGTCTTTCATTGCTATACCCAAGTCCAAAGCAAGAGTAATTGGCCTCTTTCAGAATAGTGACACCTTGCTTGTCATCTTGCCCTGACAGTGGATATATTTCAGTGGGTAGTAGAAAAATCATAGGATCCAGCTCTAGATCACAGCACAGCCTCTTTCAGGATATCAGCTCCTTGCATAAAGAGGTATTGTTTCTCACCCATCTGGCTACTCTTTCCTGCCCACCTTTATCAGCTGAAATGGGCAAAGTTCTAGAGAATGAAATGTCCTTTCCTTGATTCTCAATATCTTTCCAATTGTATAAGACACCATTGATCTGTAGTGGCATATTATACAGTAGCTTGTTTTTAGCATTAATTGGCAGCGATCAGCATCTGAAAAAATATTCTGCGTATTGTAAATATTAGTTATGACTGATTCTGTTCACAGAAAATAAAAAGCCAAATTGCTTCCCTTGCCTGTGTGGGAGAATGTAATTACTAGGAAACAACAACACAATGTTACATCTAACATTAAGAAGCCTAGATCTGGCTATTATGGTTTGAAGATCTGGTTTATAAGAAGAAAACATGGTAGCAGACATTGTGCAGATATAACATTAAACCTGTTTCCATGCAACATACCAAATCACAATTTACTGAATAACCCATTATTGACTGGATTCACACAGCATATCAAACCATAAACCTAAGTTTACACGATATGTCAAAATGTAAATAATTTCATTTGGTGGATATGTGAATCAACTTAACTTTTCTATGACTGGGAAGTTCCAGAATCCAAGGAAAGCTCAGTAAAAGTGATTGGGTCATCATCAGGACAGGCAGCTTTTATTTGTATACTTGCTTATTACCTCTAATATTCTCTAATATTAGGCCTTTAAAAAAAATAAAGTGGGGAAGGGGAGAGAAATTCCAAAAGCCCACAAAGGATTAACAATCAAAAACAAGAGAGAGAAATTGAGAAGTGAGGAATATCTAGTCTAGAGCAAAATACGGCTGCATATTTTCTTGAAAAGACTAAAAATGGCTCAGAAATAAAACACATGCTTTGTATATAGAAGACTGTGGGATCAATCTATGGTATCTTTGTTAAAAAGGATCCCAGATGGTGAGGGAAAACTCTTCCTGAGGGTTTGAAAAGTTGGTGCCATTTATAACACATAATACTTAACTTAATACTCAGCTTCATCTCACAATAATGTGGTTTCATACATTCAAGAAAACATTTAATTGTTTGGATGTTTTCATGTGGAGAGCAGTGTTACAAAGTAATTGTCACTAATGTACCCTGGATATAAAACATAGGAATTCACTTTAAAGCAGTTTCAAATGTTAGGTTGTGATATACTGGCAGAGATAATTTGGACATTTTATACTTCAGGCACTTCAGCTTTTTCTAAAGTAACATTATGATCTTAAAAAAAGAAAGAAAGATTATATAAGCAGTGCTCTTCTCAGAGCCATTACATTTCCTCTATTGAGGAATACTTTTTTGTTCTTTTTCAGAATAAAGCAGTGGTGCATTGACTATTCAGATGTTCTCAACCGTACAAAAATTATTTCTGTTTTGATGTAATTTTGTTCTCTGTTTTTGCTGACCCCAGGCATTGCTTAGATGTTTTATCAAATGAAACTTTCCCTTTATGGAAAAGTAGTTTACATGTTTAAGTCTTTTAGTTTAATTTCAAAACGAAAATAGTGGCTATTCTTAGGTAAAAGGTAGAACTTTCAGTGGTGGGATTCAGCCAGTTCGCACCACTTCGGCAGAACCAGTAGCTAATTTTTTGTTGCCCAGGCCCAGAATGGACTTCCAGAAGTGGCATCCACACAGAGAACCGGTTGTTCACATATTTGAATCCCACCACTGAGAACTTTATTAGTAGTATGGTAACACCAAGGAAACTGATGGGCTGGCAGGGTTGTTGCAAACAGTGATCTAAATATACAGCCAAATGAAGTATCTGATTTCTGAGATGATGGAATGAATTGGACCTCTTTCATCTACAAAGGAGATACCGCATTATTTAGATTTTTTTAATCTCACCTTTATTATTTTTATCAATAACTCAAGGTGATGACCATACCTAATTCTCCTTCGTCCTCTTATGTTCTACACAATAACAATCTTGTCAGATGGGTTGGGATGAGAGAGAGTGACTGACCCAAAGTTATCTAGCTGGCTTTCATACCTAAGGTAGGACTAGAACTCACCATCTCCCATTTTCTAGCCTGGTGCAATAACCATTAGATCAAATTATTACCTTCTATGTAATCTTCTTTTTCATTTATCCATAGCTAAGATTCTGTCTAATGTGCTAACTTGTTTACTTTTGCCAAAGTTTATCTTCTAACTGCTGCCTGACAGAGTCTGTTACCTCGGAACTCTTATCCCCCTATTGAGCTCCAAGTGTAAATTACTGCTGAAGTAACACACGAGAGCTGTTTTGAAATATGATTGAAGGATTTCAGAACTGACATTACACATACACATTACACACAGCACACACATACACACATGCATACAGACACCCATACATACCTTGTAACTATATGGAGAAGAATATGTTAACTACCTTTCTTTTTAGTCACTAGTTGCTTGCATTTGAATCAACCTGGAAGAAATAAAATAAGTTTATTACACATCGCTTGCCTAGTCTCCTGGAAGCTTTTCTTTTTAGACTTGTGGTGATGTAACCCCCCCAGTGTAAACAGAAGTAGGCAGTAATTGTGGTTATGAAATATAATTAGCTGCTGAGCTGCTGCACTCTGGCATGATATTAATATGCATCATGAATTATTTCTTAGCCTTTTGTGAAACTTGTATACAAAATTCTACAAATAAGTTTTGATATATAGGTATCGATTGGGGCATAGCCAAGGGTATTGTGTCAATTACTTAAAACCGTCCTCAGTAACAGAATGGCCAAACTGTAATTTTGAGTCACCTTCCAGAAACATTCAATACTCTGAACAGTGAAGTTTTTCCTTAGTTAATGATATTAAATGATTGTACCTTGAAAATCTGAAATAAACTCTAGTTAGGGGGAACCAAAGGATTAATCAACTCAGGAGAAAACATACAGGCTGTGTTTGGATCCTTTCTGCTTCTGTTGCAGAAAACCACAGACGCCCTCATGCCATGCAACGTATATCCTTCCTGCCTGATTCAGATCTACTGAATAGGAGTGTCCCCCCCCCCTCTCAGCAGTTGGTTCCACAGACAAATTCTTGTTACCCTTAGGAAGTTTTTTGTAATATTCAATTAGAATTCACTCTGCCAGTTATTATTCTATGACCTGCATCCTGAATCAAAATATCCTTTTTCTTTCAAGTATTTGAGAGAACACACCCAATTTCTTCCTTCTCTCTTCATCAGCCTAACCTGTCCCTGATTGTACTTGATGCCCATTCATGAAATTTACCATTTTTAAAATCCTTCTTAAAAATGTATTCTGATTATTCAAGTTTTGATTTTAATCAATTCAGAAAAAATAGGTTTATTCCTGGGATTTGGAAATTACATTTATGTGGATGCAACTTAAAAGTGCATTTGTTTTCCTTTCGTGGTACTAGCTCATATCCAAGACAGTACATTAGGGTTTGACAAAATTATCAGCTACTTCATTCAGTATGCTAGGGTGCAGTTCCTCTGGTATAAGATGGTATTAATCTTATATATAGCCTCCAAAGCTAAATTAATCAAGTGTTTCACAATTAAAATTAATTAGGGGAACTGCTTTGTATCTGTCAAAAGCATGACATATTTTTTTCCTCTGACCGTACAGCCCTTTGTGCAAAAATTGGCTACCTTCATATAAGTCCCTGGGCCTGAACTGTCAAGACAGAAAAGGCTTGAATATCAGGAACGGCAAGTAGACATATTAACGCTATTAATAGTCATATGAAAAGCTTTGCAGATAGTTGAATTACAAATGTAATTTGATTTCTAAAATCTAAGTTTACAATTTAGTTTGAATTCACAAGAACTGAAACTACAACCTATTTTAGCTTAGTATTAATTAGCATTAATTATATTTAATCTGCTAACCTATAAAATGTACAGCTTCAGATTGCTTAGAAGTTACTTCACTGTTCCCTCATCAATATACCTAAATTATTTAAGAAGAACAATAATATAAACAATAATGTTCTTTCCTTGCAGAGTTAACCGACCTGTTACTTTGTCAGTCACATCACAACATTGCAGAAGAATGTTTTGACAGTTATAAATTGAGGATTCCCTCTGCCATGTTTTAAATGGTTCTTTACTTGCAGATAGAGAAATGTATTTGGCCATGCTAATGTCTGCTTGAATTGTGGAAGAGAATTTATCATTGATGAAGCTTAAAATGCCTGTATACAATTCTTACATTTGCAGTTTTAATTTTGTGGCAGGAGATAATTTAATGCTTCATGATTTTCAGATGATTTTGTAGCTTTTTCTTGGATTCTGCAGGGTTGTATGAACATAACATACTTAATTTGATCATTGGTCCTCCTAGCTGTTTCTGAGCTTTCCTTTTCTACAACTGTCCTTTCCTTAGCATAGCTCTTGTCTGCTTCAAGTATTGCAATTGTCCCATTTAATTTAGATGCCTACAATAGCTGAATAATGAAGTCATGGGGCTTGATTATCAGATAATGTGGTTTGAAAAAAAGGCTACGAAAGAGCCGCTAACTAAGGCCAATCTAGCTGCTATGAATTGCTCCCTTATTTTTCAGATGGTTGTAATATACTGTATGTCGAGGAAGAAGTTTTTCAACCTATCTAGATATTAATGGTCATTCAATTAGTGTTTCTTAGTGTTGTTTCTCTTCTTTCATCTGCTATAGGTGAGCGTCCCTTTCACTGTAACCAGTGTGGAGCTTCCTTCACCCAAAAGGGGAATCTACTGAGGCACATCAAATTACACTCTGGAGAAAAACCATTCAAATGTCCCTTCTGTAGCTATGCCTGCCGAAGAAGGGATGCCCTCACAGGACACCTCAGGACACACTCTGGTGAGTTTCTTGCATTTTTGCTTTTAGCACTAATGCCAGACTGAACTCTGCACAACAGTGTTCTTTCAATCAGTCAGTCCACGTGTCAGTCCATCTGGATCTATAAAGTCTCCGTGGATTGAGAGTGCAGGTTCTGGGGCAGCGTGATTTTGTAGCTCTGTGCTCTGAATTTGTTTCTAGGCACAAATGTCAGAGACTGAGTCTTGTCAACCTATGTGCTCTAACATTGAGCTTGGTATCTCTCAGAACTCCACTAAAACTGACTACTACTTGAAAAGAGGCTTATCTCTTATTTTCTAATTACAGTACCCTAGTGCTATAGATGAAATTGGATCAAAACTGAATAGGGAATTAAATATTCTTCAAAATTCAGAATATTACCTGGAAAACCATAATAGCTTTCCCTATATTCTCAGAACTAAGAATGAGGATATATCTTTGTTTTACTCTTTTTATATTTACTCTTTCATAATGTAATTACATTTTAATAACTTAATTATAAGAAATAAATCAGCATGACAATAACTTTTTCAGGCCAAGAATAATATAAAAGTTCACAAAAGATTAAGCTGTTTTTCAATTTCAATTTTCCCCAAACTCAGTATAATATAACTTTGTAAACCATGATTACTACCTGCCAATTTTTAAAAAAGCATTTGAGATGGAAACTGATCCACAATTTTGCTTTTAATTTTTTGCAAAATGTTCCATTTAGAGTTCTTGCGGATATATGAAAGAAAAATGTTGGGCAATTATCAGTCTATCAGTGTTTAAAGTTTTTTTTCCTCGAAAGGAAAAAGAAGATATAGTTCTAAGAAAGATGGAAGGGTTACAAATTGATGATATTGTTATCTGGAGCATTTGTAAAATCCAGTGAATGAATTACAGTAAGGTGGTTGCGTGATAATTGCCTCTCCAAAAGTACTTCCAATACTTAGCAAAGGAGTTGGAATAAATTCTGCTTTCTCTGTCTGAGGAAAATACTATCCTGTTCTGATGAGACTCTGCCTTTGAATTTTTAATTTACATTATCTTCAACTTCAGGATACTCTCAATTAATTTTACTCCATCTGAAGACAATTCTGTAAAAGTTGCCAAATCTAGGGAGCTTCTTTTTGTGCTATTAAGCTAAAGTTGAGTTAACAATACTGAAATCAGCTCATTTAAGTGGCATCGTGAGTTGATTCATACTATTGCTCATACTATTGCTTTACTTGTTTATTTTTTGATAGATTAAACATACAAAAGTGCTTATATCAACAGACATATTTCAAGTTAATATTTTGTTTGTCGTTTCAAGCTAACACACTTCAAGTAAAGTTGGGAAGTTCTAAGAGAGTTCTGACTGATGTTAGTTTCAACAAGTAAAAGGGAACTAGGGCAACAAGTATGAAATTTGCATATTCAAGTTACCAAAATGAAGTAAATCACTGTTGGGATCCAGAATAACTTAAAATGCAAGATAGTTAAAGGAAATAGAGACAAATAAAAAGCAAACCATAACCTCTCAAACTGTTCATAATCGATAAAAGTATAAAATGCATTCTCTGTTTTTGCTTCTTTCTATTATGAGCATATATCTTGGTTTCACCAATTTCAGTAAAGTATTTTTCAGCAACATTTTACCAGGCCCCAGCCCTGTCAGTACCTGACTTGTATCCAAAAGAATCAATTTGTTGTTATACCATGCTACAAAGGTACTGTATGGTGGGATGGCATAGTTTTCTGAAGTTCCCTAGGCTTAACATTGGTAAGTTAAAGTTCTTAAATGTAATCAAAATTTTTTTTAACAAAGTATCAGTCCTGAATCTGTCCTAATGATGCTCTTAAAGCCACCAGGAATCATATGATTTTGGCACTATATAGCCAGCTTGGGCTGGTGGTTAAGTTCTAGTCCTGCCTTAGGCATGAAAGCCAGCTGGGCAAGTCTCAGTAACTCAGACAAACTCACCTCACAGAATTGTTGTTGTGGGGAAAATAGGGAGAAGGAAGGAGTATTAGGCCTGTTCACCATCTTGAATTATTTAGAAAAATAATAAAGGCGGATACAGAAATAATAGAGGTTTTATTGTGCACAAAAATCAATGAGGTTTTGTCCTGTGGATTTCTTACTTTGTTTGATTTCAGATGTTTGACACCCCAAATGCAGGGCCTTATTTCCCTTCTTTTTTTTTTGTGAAGGTGGCTAATTCAAACTGTTATTAGTACAAAAGATTACACAAAGCTTTTTATTCCAGATTGAAAATAAGAAGAGATATATTATAAATAATTAAAATTATGGTTTCCACAATGCCTATAGATGAGTAGAGGACACATGTAGATATTTGTGGGAAAAAGTGACTTACTTAAGGGATAGAATAAAATACAACTATACTGTGGGAAATGTATAAATTGCAAGGAAAGAAATTCTCAAGGATTTCTTTGAGATGTAAACATTAACTAAATGTATCCATGAGTTTTTGACTGAAGAAAAACAAACATCACTGGAAGTTGCGAAGAAACATACACAAGTAGTTTTAGAGCACTTGTTTCATGTGGCTACATGATCGTCATATTCTCTGAAGTGATTTGAAAATGAGTATGCCAGAGCCCAAGATTGATTTCTTTCAAGCTCTTTTAAAATACTGATTTTTTTAGAAGAAACTTCTCACTATTAACCCACCAAACATTTTTCTTTTGGAATTTTTGTAATGAGAAAGCAGTGTAAAAAAACATTAAATAAATGATACATTACTAAAGCAGCAAAACTCAGAAATATAAAGCAACTATTAAAGAAACTTAGTATCATCCAGGAGACAAAATCATGACATTTCTGATCAGCTATTTATAGATTATTGGTGTTCTTTCAAGTATCTAATGGAAATTAAAGCATTCTAAAATAAAGAAATACTGCTAGGAATATAGTTTGGCATTGCTATTGCTGCATACAAGGTTAGATGCAAGAAGGACAGGTTCTTCAAAGTGGAAATTTGAAGGCTTGAGGCAGCTTTTTTCCCACAGAAAATATGAAGATATTTGAGCTACAAGACAGACTAAGATGAACTTCAGGATCTCTGAAAGTAATTAATGGGAAGTATGCTACCCCACAGCACATAAGAAACTCACATAACAGCCTATGGGCATGAAACCTCATAGGTACTAAGAATGCTTTTTCCAGTGTGACCTAGAAGTTCATAAATTCTGAATTCATAATGTATGGGACATCTACAGTATAGAAAGCATTCTTTTAACTGTCTTTTAAAATCTTCTATTAAAAGGATCAAGAATAACTCATACAAATTTTCTTCACATTCTGTTTTATAGTCTTGGTGAACATGTCATGTATGAATGCATAGCTCTTATATATTCCCTACTTTAAAATCTAATAAAAAAACTCTAGTATTAGGAGTTTCATTTGCTACAGTTAAGACAATCACATATATTTTATTTAAGTGCACATAGTAAATAAGTTGTAATAGTGTTAAGTCAATTTTTAACATAAAATTGCTCTTAATTTTCCTATAGCTGAGTCCTACATTCTTTCCCTCACTCTGGGGAAGGGGGTGAGTGCCTAGAGAAGATTTTGATGTGGTTACATTGGTAACAGACTCTCCTTTTCACAGTCCCAGCCTCTGGCTTGCTTCAGTGTGAGCTGAACAAGTGTGAGCTCTTCCTGTCATTCTGATGGTCAGGACCACTTCAAGAGTTCTTCATTTACTTTTTGCATTTGGTTTTGGCCTTCCTGTTTTGAATTTTCAGCAGAACCAATCACTTGCAAACTAACAGACAGCAACAAACATCTAGGGATATCTCCAAGAATCATTTCCAGTGACAGGAGTGAACAAGAGATTCAAACTCCAGTTATGCAACAATACACTCCTGCTGGCCACAAATTTCCCTAGAAGGAAAATTGTTGTGGATAGGCTGCAGTTGGCCCAGGTTGTCCTATTAATTGAACATGGTTCATCTGCCAAAATTCCAACCATAAAGTGTTCCAGCTGCAAAGAGGGATTCAGAATAACAGAATAACAGAGTTGGAAGGGACCTTGGAGGTCTTCTAGTCCAACCCCCTGCTCAAGCAGGAAGCCCTATACCATTTCAGACAAAAGGATTAAGCAAATGTGGTAGACCTCCAAGGGTGTACCCACAGCCCCACACCCCTCCGATCTCCAGAGGACGTACAAGGTGCTTTGGCAAGGTTCACTGTGGCTACAATCCACCTGAATCTCCTTCTCTCACTGAGGTCAATGCATCCCCTCCCTGGAATCTGGTCAATGATTTACAATGGGTGTAAAAAATTACTGCAAAAAACTGAAGGGTTTATTTTTAAGATGAATGTGGACAATTGATCCAAATGATCTGCAGGGCTACAAAAAGGCTTTTAAATATGCTTAGCCTAGCTATTTCTTAATTTTTAAAAGAAGTGGGAAATGAATAAATAAATGCAAAAATTCAGTTTGAAACTAAAATGATATTTTCAGCAAATGGGAATAAATACACCCTGTATAACTATCCTATCTTTAGATCTGTACCTCTCTTCAAGTGGGATCAATTATTTTTTTCAAGTTTGAAGCACTGAATCTCCTTTTAAAGCATTTCAGGATTAGCACAGAAGGAAGATTTGAACTTAGACTATGATCTAGTGAGAGCATCTCTTGCAGGACTCCTCCCAGTTGAAATCACCCTGAAACCTCTGCAAGGAATCTTTCCAGAGGATCGTGCCCAACATCACTGAGTAATATAAATAGGAATTCACAGCCAGAAAGTTGCAAACTTCAACTGGCCAATAGAACTTTAATTCGGGATAATTATCTGAACCTTTGAAAAACTCCAAGTCTGCCTCTTGTATAAATACATAAAACAAGAACTTGGAACCTCGCTAGTGCTGAAAAACAAGAAACGGGCATTTCCCTGATCAGACAGTCTTTACATTATATTTCCTTAAGGAGCTCAGCAAAGGAGGACTTCTTCCAAATTTGCCAGACTTGACTGGATTGCATCTCCTACAGGAATGCTAAAGG